TAGCAGATGCCTAGTGATACCAAACAAGAAAAATAGATGAGAAAGAGAGATATCAGGAAGGCTGGTAGAAGGGAACAAGATGGGGAGATGGAAAGTATCCACACAGTACAAGATGGAGTGCAGAGATCCAGAATGCAGAAGCTCTGTTGTTCCAAGAATTTGCTATATATTTTAAAAAGTTGTTGTTGTTGTTCAGTTGCACAGTCGAGTCCAACTCTCTGTGACCCCATGGACCACATCACGCCAGGCCCTCCTGTCTTCCATCTGTAAAAAGACTTAAAAAGATTGTCTTCCTGTCTTTAAAAGGACTATGTTCATAACACCACATAGCTCGAAATACCTGTGGTTGCTATGGGCAGGACAGGGATTTCACCGTTTCCCCCATTTCATCTAGTGAGCAGGGCTAAGTATAGATGAACGAGAAGAGAAAAATCAAAATGTTCACAGAGAAAACTGACCTCCCAGGTCTCTTCATTCCCATGTCAGCTTTAGTCTGCAGTCACAACTGTGATACTGACTTTCATCTTTGGTTGGACATGAATGTAACCATTGATAGTCTTACCTTGATTTTTTTTAAAAAGTTTTGTTCTTCCAAGTATCATGGAGAAAGGGCAATAGACAGATGTTTGTTTTTTATTTGCTTTGGTTCTCCTGAATATCTGAGGGATTCTGTGAATCTCAGTTTTAGATGAAGCAATTTAGCTCTCTATTCCTAGTTTCCATACTGGAATGGGGCCTGTTGAAAGTTAGCTGCCATACTTATAGAATATGTTGACTGCATTGCAGTTGAATGATATTGGAACACTGTTCTCATGGTGGTTACAGAGTTGTTACTCTGGTGAAGAATGAGACAGCTGCTTATAACATCCCACATATTGACATCTGTTTTTGAATTTAATATTTACACTGTTCACTGGGAGTTAAAGTGGGCTTGGCTCTAGTATGTTCCTTCTTACGCAGTCTACTCATACAGTTTGGTAATTATTTCCATATACTCACGCCTGTGTGGCTTTGGAGAGTAGCACCCTTGCGTTCCTTCAGCATCTCCTGGAGCATGAATGGATTTTTTCACCCATACTAAGTTGTCTTGCAGCCATTTGACGTAAGATTTTCCTTCTTGATCTAAAAAACCTGAAGTTTTGTGTTTGAATGGAAACCGTTCCATCTCCCTACAGAATAGGAGTTTGAATTTGATTTGGGGGCCTTTCCAGACAAATTCTGATGCTTTGAAAATGTTCACCATGGCTGGGTGAGCCATCTTCAAATAGCTGACGATGGGTAGTTCAATCTCAAATGCATGCCAGACTCCTGTGTTGGCAGAACAGCTCTTGTATTTGCCAAAAGGGGGTGTCTTGTATTTGGTGTAGAGAAACTCTTGAGAATGTTGAAATGGCTAATAAATGTTTTCTGAATGCATTTCTCTAACACAAATTATCATTTTCTTTGAATAAACTCTGATGTAGTGGAAAGTCTATACTTTGAACAGTGCCCGTCATTATTATTCCACCTTTCTAGTTTTACTAAAGTGTGGATGTGGATGCAATACAAAGAAATGTATCTCTCAACATCAAACAGTATTGAGACCTAATCTTGAGGGAGGAGATTATTACTTTTATTTTGGCCATATTTTTTCCTGCAATCTCAGCTAAAATGTAAAATCAGATTTTAAAGGGGGTGGGGGAATCATTCATTTTTTTCCTCAGAGAAACCTACTACATAACAGATTTAAAATACATCAGAATTAGTTAAGGAACAGCCAAGAATTGCAGGGTAAAATTAAAACCCAGTTTTTACCAAGCTTGATGAGTATTTGGAGTTCTACTTTGGAGAGATATGAAAGTCCCCAGTCATTAGCACTGATCGTTAAATTATAGGAATGCAGAATTATCTTACTTTCTGGTCTATACATTTTATGTTGGAAAATCTGCTAGTAGAATGCCAGTACTTCTAAACAGAACTATCTAGGGTTACCACCTTGAAAGTGGAGACTGGAGTGTTCCCAGAATTATGACTGATCTTCAGCATGTAGGGATCAGTTTTCCTGGAGGAAATGGCAGCTTTGAAGGGTGGTCTCTGTCGTACCATATCCCTGCTGTGCTCTTTTCCCCTCCTCAAACTGGCCTCCCTCTAGGAACCCTCCGATCTCTGGAAATTCCACATGTCAAACAGGGCAACAGTTATCCTCTTTCTGGATCACAGAACATGCACAGTCTAGATCTTATGTTGTAGTACGCAGGTCTCTGTATTCTTTTTTAAATTAAAGCCTTAAACTGATGCTTAGAAAGCAGGAGATTCCCCCACCCCCAACATTCTATATGATGTTTAGTTACCGTGTTTTGTTTTCAGTGTCCTGGACTTGGACACCTTAACAGTGTCCAAGAACACAAATCTAAACATATTGAACTGCAAACTGTGTATTCTTCCTCATGATCTTTTATAAATAGGATACTGTACAAGCCATAACCTTCTCTGGAATGACCTTCATTCAACAAGGTGCAGATTAGCTGTCTTCTTGTATTGAATGCATGATAAGATTATTCTCTAAAAAGATTGCCCTGTTAATTTGCGTTATTATTGTGTGTATGTTGGAATGAACAAAATTTAGGCAGCTAAGATGGTACTATAGGTGAAGCAGTTGGCTGTAATTGTACTTTCTACCACTACTCTCAGTTCATAGGTTTGCACTTTCCCAAGCATCTATTGAAAAAAGTATACCAATGAATGCAACAGCTGTAGTTAGTTCAGCACAGCTAGCTGTTGAGCATTGTAACTTTCCCCTTGTTCAAAATGAGGATTTGAGGACGTTTTGCATATTCAACTCAGTGGGTGCTGCTGTGAGTACCTGAATGGCCCACAGTATTCCAGCAAACGTGAAGCAGACCTTACATAGGTTTGCACTTTCCCAAGCATCTATGGAAAAAAGTATACCAATGAATACAACAGCTGTAGTTAGCACAGCTAGCTGTTGAGCATTGTAACTCTCTCCTTGTTCACAATGAGGATTTGAGGACGTTTTGCATATTCAACTCAGTGGGTGCTGCCGTGAGTACCTAAATGGCCCACAGTATTCCAGCAAACTTGAAGCAGACCTTAGTTCTAAGGGCCACTGATATTTCCCCCTGCCCAGCTGCTGCAACATTTCATTGTGTTCCTTCCATAGACCAAATAATTGCTTTTGAATGTGCAATACACATTATGTACAATGCAGCATAATATTAGTGGCACTGATTGGAAACAATAAACCAATGAAATTAGACCAGCTATGTTTTGGCCATAAAGGCGTTCTCCAGTGGTCTCAATTTTATACCCCACATGCGCACTATACGAAGGACTCTGTATTGCTGTAAAGCTTTTAAGGTCATCTGGGTGCATTCCAAAGTATTTACTGAGGCACAAATATACTCAGTGGGGTAGTACATTTGGCTACTATATTACTGCAGTAATACTCGTTACCAAAGAGAAAGTGAGATAATATACTGAATACAACAGTTCCTTAACTCACAGTGTGCATATGTGTACTGCAATGATAAATTAAGTGATACATAATCAATGAAATTGATTATTTAATTGCTGTGTAGCTGTTCTGAAAAAGTAATGGTGATTCTTCTAAATAATGGCATCAACGTTTGTTGGTGCCATTGGGTCAAGTAGTAAGTGTTCTTGCATGAAGCAGGATGTCCTTAGGATGCACTAAATATTGATGGAGTGTTTGTGCAGTTTTCTGAGATGCAGTTATCTGGTCTAATTCCAGATGCTTTGCTTTAATATTTTTCTAAAATCACTACAGAATGGTATGTAGAGTATTATTTGGGATCAGCAAATGTTTCCTATTTCATAGTTTTAAAATATTATTATATGTTTTAACTATTTCAGTTCCCAGCTTTTCCCTTGTACATTTGTTTGTAATGTGTATGCATGTTATAGAGTGTTTAGGTGAAATTTCATAGTAACATACATTTATGTTACACATAGTAACAATGTGTATGAAGCACAATATTCATGTGATATGCAATGCTGTATGTTGATTTACAAAGAATGTTGAAAAAATCTGTACACTTTATGGGAAAATCTGATGCAGGGACAAAGAGAATGATGTTTGTTGATCTGTACAAAGAAGGAGCAAAATTGAAACTGAGATTTTGGGGGTCGAAGTAGAAGGGATGAGAATTTTGAAATCATCTGTAAATGTAGCATATAATCAGAAAATTGTGGTTAACTACTATTGCATCTTTGCCTTCAGAGCTTTCTTTGCATGTTTCAAGGAGAATAGAGTTACCAATTGAGAGTTATGGATTATAAATAAATAGAATGGCATTTAAGGGTAACCTTGTCTCACTCAGTTTATGCTACTGCTGCCTTAGATGTCGGTGTGTGTTTTAATGGAGACTTCCTTGCCATCTGGGTATGAGCTGGAATATTATGTCTTTCACAAATGTCTGTACTAAAAGCTATGATTGTCTTTGAATGAGAAATTAGAGTAGAATCCCAAAGAAGTTAAATCAAAATGAAATATTTCCTTCATTTAACTTTCCTCATGTATTCATCTTGAATATTGGGCAACACAAACATATATAGCCTATTTTGTGTTAACTAGACTGGCTGCCAGTGTACGTCCAGACACAATTCAGGATGCTGGAATTAACCATTAGAGCACATTCGTAGCATAGGCCCCACATATATTAAGGACTTCCTCTCCCTGTACCAATAACCATGTTAGCTAAATCAGGCACCCCTTCATGTTCAGTCTGTTCTGTTGAGAAGCAAGGTCTTGACAGCAGTTCCCTGTGTCTGTAAAATGGACTGTCCCCAGAAATCCATGGGTTCTCCCCTTTATCTTCTTTTAGAAAAGTGTGGATGCAAGATGTCCACCTTTTAATGTGAAGGTGTTATTGCATAATGGTTTTGTTCTATCTTTATTGTTGATGTTATATTGTTGATTGTGTAAGCTTCCTTGAGCTTTGGCAACGTTTTAACTAACTAAATATTTTTTTCTGTTTCAGGAACAAGAGGATCCTAATAAACTTGCTACAAGCTGGCCAGACTATTACATAGACCGCATCAATTCCATGGCTGCTGTGAGTAACCCTCTCATTGTGAGAACAGTCTTTGAAAATAGCAGGATCTTTGATATCTTGTTGTACTACTTCTTAAGGCTATGCCTTATCAGCTCCTCCCACTCCCTGGTTGTAGTTCCACAAATTGAACCAACAACCTTCAACCATTTGAGTGCCAGAGCAATCTCTTTCTGGCTGCTAATGCAGAAAAAAAGAGATGTTATTCCTTCCTGATGCAGCTGAGGGCAACAAAGAGACAAGATAAAAATCTCAGCCTTATATTGAATCATCTTCCTGTAACCTTAATCCAGAGAAGAGGTGGATGTGGACCCAGCTACTTTATACTGCTGGCATGGTCACTCTGGGAGAATAGATCTTGGCTTCTCCTGGTTTGTTTTAGCACATGAAAATCATTATACCTGCCTCCTCGCCTATCTTTCTTCCTCTTTCAGCAGGGTGAGCATGTGAATGATTCATGGATTCTTTTTTCTGTGTTTGGTAATCAAAGCTTAACAGCACAAATAAATCCTTTCCTTACTTTACTGGGGAACAGAAAGCTACTTTTACTGCACACTGTTGCTTTTGGATGGTTGTCAGTATTTGTGCTCAATATATATATTTGTACTATAGAAGTGTTTGCAAATGAATGATAGCTTTAGAAGTAATTATTTAGAGTTTAAAGTGGTACTCAACTACACATATTGTGTGTGTGTGTGTGTGTGTGTGAGAGAGAGAGAGAGAGAGAGGTCATCAATGAAGTGTAATTGATGCATCTCTTTTCCTTGTGTTGGAAATAATTTTCCTGAAGCACACCAGCTTGTCAGGGGAGAAAGGAAAACATATTTTAGAGCATATCTCACAGCTGAATGTTAACTCTACTTGGATAACTTTCTCATACCCACCTACAGATGATATTCTTTTCATCCCTAAATTAGGGCACAGGCAGAGTAAAAGGAAAAAAGGCAGGGGTCATTTCGTAGAAAAAGAGGTGCAGGAGCTCATCAACATAACTCATTAGCATTACTTATTTGCATATGCCACACCCCCTGACATCACCAGAAGTGTGTCAGAAGGCAACACCCACCACTAGACTGTTTTGGATTGCTAGCTATTGGGGGGGGGAACGTGCAGATCTGTCCTCGCAGAGGAGGGAGAGCTTGTACCGGAATAAAACTTGGTCTTAAAGGTGCCACTGGACTATTTTGGACTGGGGGGGCTCTGCAACTTACCTGGCTGCTTCTTGCTCTGACTGAGGGCTGCTGGGAGCAGGGGGTTGGGCTTGTTGCATGTGCCCACCCCCTGGGCTCTTTACTGCCAGAGCTCCGCTCCTGTGTGCTCCTGCAGGAAATAACCCCTGAAAAAAGGAGATATCTAGGGATATTTTTGCTTTATGCTTTGTTAATGATTCAGTAATGAATGTCTCTCTTTGTATCTGCTGTGCACAGAAACAAACAGGTTATAATTTGCCATTCAGATATTTTCCATCAGGAAATAGCTATATCTAATCTTTGTTTTTGTTTTTTCATTGCTTGCATGTAGGATCTCCACTCACTTTAGAAAGGGCTCCTCAGTTGCAAAAACAAACATACAACAACCCTCAACCCTTTAAGTTTAGGTCTATATTTAGCCCTAGACCCCCCCCCCCCCCAACAAAACTACAGCAACCCATCATTGGGTGCAACATAAAGGAGTCAATTTTTATAATTCCATGGTGGAATTTTGGACAAGCCAATTTATTATCTAGAACCTCAAAGAAAAAAAAGTTGTACAATCTAGGAGCATGTCTCACCAAGTTCTCGGGAACTCCTTCACCCCGAAAGGCAAAGGCTTTGTTGTGTTTTTTCCCCCTCCTATTATCCTTATATATCTTAGCTTTTTTTTTTAACTTATGGTGAGGGGGCAAAAAACTCTCCTCTTAACAAATTATGCTTCATGAGAGTCTGAGCTAAAAAGTTACTGTTTCAGTACTTTGCAGTTGATGTCATATGCAATATGAGTCAGAGGAAGCACTAGTTCTCCTAAGTTTTTGGGTGGGAAGGGTGAAATACAAATGTAATAAGTAAATATAGTATTTAATACGATCATTGTGACTATTAGAAGGCCTTTTAAAACCAGGCTGTTTATAGAGGACAGTCCACTTTTGTGACATGTGGCAGAAGTAAAGAGCTTGAGGCTTTATAGACTGTGCTCCTTTGTAATCATAGAAATTTCCTTGTAGGTTATTTCAGATAACCAGTTACCTTCACAAAACTCATATGGCAAAATCTCTGTGTGAGAACAGAGAGGCCGCAGCCTTTCTTTGATGTTGCCTCTAGTGTTGGGTTTCAGTAGTTTTCCACCTCTGAATATGAAGGGCATCTTTATTCACCAACACTAGCAGCGAAGTCGATCTATCCACCATAATTCAGTCTTAACCTCCTTTTAAGCCATCTGTGCTCATGACCATCACTGCCTCCACAGCAGTAAATTCCGTTATTTACAAAATTGTTCCTGAGACATTTTTCTCATCTATGTTCTGTATGGTCTGCTAGTGAGATTGAATATATTCAGCTGATTTCAACTGAACTGTGGTACAAACACATCAGTTTGTCCAAGGCTTTTCAAGACAAATTTAACAAATTCCTGGGGGGAGGGCAGTTGGATTTTCTACTCTGAGCAATTGTGTATGCCTTAAAGAGTCAAACAGGATCAATTATCTATCAAATTTGTTAAGCAAAACTATTTCATAATACTGTTTAGGTACTTGAGACTGCCAGAGTCATAACAATAGAGGCTCAGGGTGGATTGGCAAACTTTGCTGTGCAGAGTGGTAGGACAGCTGTAGGATCCACACCAAGTATAACTGGTGAAATAGAGGCTCAGGGTGGATTGGCAAACTATGCTGTGCAGAGTGGTAGGGCAGCTGTAGGATCCACACCAACTAGTAATAACACAGTATCCTTTGTTACATAATGCATTTGTAGTATGCCAGTCTCTAGTTATGTTTAACATCTATAGTAGCTGAACAAAGCATAATCTCTGTTTAAGCCTATCCCTACCCAGCTTTATTACTGTAAATTTTACTTTCCTAGGGAGCATCTTGGCTGCATATCCACCCAATTTAGCCTGTCAGATGGCTTCTGCTGATTAATTCTCAGTAGTCTCAATTTTCTCTGATCTAGTGCTGGATTAGTAATAATTTATCTGCCTGTTCCAAACAGATGCAGACCCTGTATGCTTTTGATGAAGAAGAAATGGAAATGAGGAATAAAATAGTTGAAGACTTGAAGACAGCTCTTCGGACGCAACCCATGAGGTAATTATCGGACGCAACCCATGAGGACTGCCAAACTCAGTTTTGAGTTAGTTTCAGAGGGTAGCCATGTTGGTCTGTAGTAGAGCAGCTGGATTTGAGTCCAGGAGCACCTCCGATTTTTAGGATATGAGTCTTTGAGAGTCAAAGCTCCCTTTGTCAGTTTTGAGTGAATTTGTAGCAGAACATTTCTCTTTTGCTGTGTATATTCTTATTCATAAGTTTACAAACAGCCACCAAATCAACACAATGAGCCAAATAAGGTCTGTCCTCTGTACCATGTACGGTGCAAAATGATATCAGGTGATCTTGAGCAAGATCGACTAATATTATTATGATAGGAACCATGTTTGCTGAAGTGGAAGAATTACGTAAGTTTGTAAATTTAAAAAACCCCTGCACTATTGTTGCAGTGTACTTCGCAGGTGTTGTACCTTACACTTTGCTGCAGCTCATTGCTGCAGCTATATCTTGTTGCAGCTCATTGTTAATCATCTTCCACAGTTTCCATCAGTTGTTCCGCCATGCTCAAGAGAGAAGGACGTGTTTCCATGTTGCATGCCAGAATCCTCTGGTCATTACAATAAATATGTGGCCCATACCCTTCACAGCCTTAATTCCCTGTCCTATTCAATTACACCAGAAAGGTCTTATCTAATATGATGGCTCCCCTTTGGGGGTCTGTGGGAGTGGAGTATGGGAAATCTCCTTCTCAAGGCCAGGTTTCTCTGAACAAGCCCTGCATTGCTTTGGCTGGATACCTCTGACAGCAGGCATTTATTTCCTCTGTTTATAATAGCCCTAATGAGTGTCAGCACCAGCATCCACAAACTGTCACATAAAGCCTTTGCTTTTAAATTGCTGGCTGCAGTGCTAAGGACTCCCCCCCCCCCATAGCTATAGCCAAGCCAAATTTTGAGTTAAGTCCCCATGTCTCAACTAATTTCCAGCGACTCAATTTGTTAGTTGCCAAGTGGGCCATATGCCAATGCCTGATGAGTGAGCCAATTCCCTCTTTGAAGGAAAGGATACAGCAGAGAGGGGCCCATGGCTGTATCAAATCCTTTTTGTAAGCAACTCCGTACACAGGCTTTCAAAATACAAGTTTTAGAATTAGGTAAGAAATATGTGTCCCTTCATCGGCTGACGGTATCGCCAGTTCAGAAGCCATAAAGCCACACAGGGAAAGGGGAATGAAAGTAGCAACAGTGATAAATGTGCATGTTTTTGAATCATCCAGTGGTTGGGAAGGCTGAATATATTTGTTGCAAGGTACAGTATTTTCACCTGTAAACCCTTGAGTAATAATTGCCGAAGTTCTTAATGGGGTTATGTGACTCGCCTACTTTATTATGATTGGGACTGTGCAAACTTTGCCAGAAAAGCACATAAAAAAACCTTAAACTGTGAATAATTACAGCAAATCAAGCACATCTGCTGACTCTGTTCTGCTTCCAAGATTATATGGTCCGAAGGACTAGTCTTGGGGAAGCGAAAAGTAAGAGATGGGAGAAAATGAAAATTTGGGCATCAGGAGCAGGAATATTCTGGTAAGAGGGAAGGGGAACAAAGTTCAGTACCAGGGCTGTTTTTGGGCAGGAACGCACAGGAACGGAGTTCCGGCTGGCTCCCAAGTTGGCCACGCCCAGCAGGACCGCATTTGCATAACAGGCCACACCCAACAGCAGAAACTCATTAGGTTTGGCTACATTAGGGGTGTGTGGCCTAACATGCAAAGGAGTTCCTGCTACAAAAAAAGCCCCGGGTTTTGACAACAAACAAGGTAAACAGAATAAGAAGCAAAAGGTGGGTGTGGCTGGATGACCACACTTCTGGTAACATGGGGTGCGGCCTAATGTGCTAATGAGCTGTGCTGTCAGGGGTGTGGCCCAATATGCTAATGAGTTCCTGCTGTTGGGTGTGGCCTATTATGCTAATGAGTTCCTGCCTGGCTTTTTCTACAAAAAAAGCCCTCTTCAGTACCCCACACAGGATACCACAACACTAACTTTTGCCCTTTGGGTTACATAGCTAGCTCCTTTCTGCTTTTGAAGCCTTTACCAAATATACCAAGTTGTTTCTTAAATTCAGCCCTGATTTAGTTCCAATCTGTCTCCTCTCCTCTCCTCATGGATTCATTCACATATATTCGTATTTGGGAGATGAGATGAATCTTGGGCATGTCTGCCTCTGATTTCCGCAGACCAGAAACAAAAGAAGAAGTGCATGTGGAAGTGTGAAGGGAATATCTCACTGCACACTCTAATGAAATCCATTTATTCTTTCTCAGGGCAGATTGTCTGAGAGCAACCATGTCTGAATCAACATGGTACAACTGGGTTCGCTTCTTAGTTTATTTGAGAGAGTGTCTGTGACAGAGAGCCCATAAGTCTTACTAGGCTGTGATTTCTCCCTCAAAAGTAATGAACAGACAAGCCTATTGAGAGGAATAATATTGTCTTTTGAGGTTACGTACGACACAATTGAGAACAGCTGTATAGTAGAACATAAGCCTCTGTAGGTGTGTTTCAGTGATTAGATTCAGTTCTTTAATAACCCGACTATTCACCACACAGCTTAAGAACAAATCCTTGGCAAAATTATTGGACTGAAGAGAAGTGTTCCTTGTGGATTGTACCCATAGACAACTTTGAATATTAAAATGTCAGGCTAGAAACAACTGCAAAAGCCATTGCTGCTAGTAGATTTCAGTTGATCTTGGAAAGGTAGTGTAAACGTACAACAGGCTATAAAAGAAGCAAGCAAAAGTTTGTTGGACCTCAGCAGAGATTTGTTAAAGTTTTAAGAAAATGGACAGGAGTATTTCAAGAAAATATTCCCCCCCCCTTTTGGCCAGAACTATTTCCACTCTCTAGCCTACCTGTCTCTTCTTTGAACAAAGTGACAGGGAAGTGCTTCCTTTATTTTGGCCTGGTTTTGTCTTGTCACAGTTCTGATAACCTCTAATCTCTCTGGTAAGTAAAACCTATCTCACTGCCTTCTATAGGCAGGCGTCCAGCCTTTGTTTCTGTCAATGTTGGGAGTACCTTCTGATCCAAAGATCTCTGTCTCAGCTAGATTGGGAAACCAGTCTGAAGGCTGGAAAACCTTCTGCTAGCTATCAGACAGTGTACATAGAACAGTGGTGGCCAACCTTTTTCCTCAAAGTGTGTCATGAGTCCAGCTTAAAGCACACAATGTAGGACCTTCCTAGAAACTAAGCAGGTCTGGGTGTGGCCAGTGCTGGAATTAAAAACCTTTTGGCATCTTTTTTTGTGGTGCCTTGAGGTCTGTGAAAGAAAAGGATGTTATAAATGAAGCTGAGAGCAAGAGTCCAGTAGCCCCTTAAAGACAAACAAAATATGTGGCAGGGTATGAGCTTTCGTGAGTCACTGCTCTCTTCTTCAGAACAGACTAACATGGCTACCCATCTTGATAAATGAAGTTAATAGTGTCATATCAATAGTTCTTTCAGTAAGCACACTGAACCTGTTTTGGGGGATGTAGCACTTCAGACTCCACAGTGGGCTCACACAGTTGAATGCTCCTTCACAATCAATTCCACACTTGTGTGTCAGGCTAAAGGTTAAGCTTAGACCCTTTTCTTTCTGACAGTTTTCTGTGCACAGAAGTTTTAGATTTGTATTGGTGTTTGTTTATTGTTGGTATTTGTACCCTGATTTCTCCTCAAAAGGGACCCAAAACAGCTTACAGCATCATTTTCCCCAGCTCCATTTTATCCTCACAACAACAACCCTGTGAACGAAGTGAGGCTGAGAGAGAAAAACTGGTCCAGTGAGCTCCATGACACAGTCAGGATTTAAGCCTGTGTATCCCAGATAGTAGTTTTGGAGTCTAACCACTATACCGCACTGGTGTTTAATCAGCTCTTTCACATAAGGCTGTGGTGGAAGCCCCAAACGGAGACATCCAGAGTCTTAGCCAAGTCCCTACACCCTCCTCTTCCTGCCAAGGAAAACGTTTAGCACCCTTGTCTCAGACTGACTGCTGATTGTGTAGGATATGTCGGTTGGTAGCAGTATGTATAAATGTACAATCTATATAATGCAGTGATTCAACATTAGTCTCTGGGAGTTTGCAGCTGTATCCAGAAGGATACATATGCAAATATCTATATAGGCACAGATGTACATCAGCCTTAGGATGTAAAGATGGAAGTATTACTAAACGCCTATGCTGCACTGAATTGCATTGGTTTGTGTTGTTGATTTTTCTAGGGGTGGAAAATGTAACTCTAGAAGGTTTTTTAAAAAATGGTCTCCCCCTTGCTTATGTCAGCTAAGGTTGGAAAAGAGTCTTATTGTGCTCCAATAAAGAGCACTACCATTTAACACATTTGAGTGTAACCATTTGTGGTGTGCTGTCTTCATTCTTCAAGCATGCATGCACGGAGCGACTTTAAAATTCAGATTTGAACAGGCACCAAACCTCATACCGAATTCCCCTCTTACTAATGGCCTTGGTTTTTCCTGGTTTCTGGTCAAAACCAATTGGATGAAGTTACTGCAGGGGGATAAAAGACCCTTCAGTGAATCTGGCCCAGATTCAATATAAGTTCTAAAATTCTCTTTTTAAGAGTGAACTATATATAGATCCAGCCTTCATACTACTAATCTATAATTTGTTTATATACTACAGCAAGGCTCATAAGTACTATGTAAAGATGGCACCCCAAAAGAGTAGTATGTTGGGAGCTTTTGTGACTTGATGCTGCTGAATCTGCAGACTGCAGAAGTGTGAATCAGGTACAGCACAACCCTATACAGAAGTTGCAGCTATGCCAGTGGTTTCTTTTACATTGTGTTCGCTCCATCTGGTATTTGAAATGCTTCATTCTGGTTTCTATTTGGAACTTATCAATAAGTTGTAACTAGTTTTTGCCTGCAATGAGGATAAAGCTGCCTGCCTCTCTCCTTACCTGCTGTCATTCGGAGGGGCTTTGCTCATAAATGTTGCCAAGCACAAAAAGGTTCTTAGCCTTACATAACAAAGCACATGTGATATGGTTGTAGCTCTTGTCATAATACATCACACATGTGTCTTCCCAGGGCTTTTTTTGTAGAAAAAGCCCAGCAGGAACATTAGCATAATAGGCCACACCCTGACACCACAGCTCATTAGCATATTAGGTCGCAGCCCCCTGTTGCCAGAAGTGTGGTCATCCTGCCACACCCACCTTTTGCTTCTTATTCTGTTTACCTTGTTTGTTGTCAAAACCCAGGGCCTTTTTTTGTAGCAGGGACTCCTTTGCATGTTAGGCCCCTAATGTAGCCAATCCTAATGAGTTTCTGCTGTTGGGTGTGGCCTATTGTGCTAATGAGTTCCTGCTGGGTGTGGCCAACTCAGGAGCCAGCCGGGGGGGGGGACTTCAATATCCATGCCAAGGCTACCCTGTCAGGAGTGGCTCAAGATTTCATGGTCTCCATGACAACTATAGGCCTGTCTACACACTTTGCAAGTCACATTCTTGATCTGGTGTTTTGTTTTGGGCAGGAAGAAGGTAATCTGAAGGTGGGGGAATGAAGAGAGTCCCCTTCTCATGGACAGATCAGTACTTCTTGGGGGTTTAGACTTACAGGGGTACCAAGACTCTGCAGGGGCAGAGGAGCAATTAAAATGATCCACCCCTGTAGCCTGATGGATCCAATAGGTTTTCAGTTGGCATTGGGGAATTACCTGTTGATATGGTCGGTGGACCTGTTCATGCCCTTGTTGACCTCTGGAATGGGGAAATGACCCGAACAATTGACATGATTGCACTTAAGCCCCCTCTCTTATGTTGAACAGCCTGGGCAGCCCCTTGGTTATAGAGGAGCTGCGGACTAGGAAAACACAGAGGCGATAGCTAGAGTGGCAGTGCAGAAAGACTTGGAATGAATCTCTCAAGGTACAGGCTAGAACTTATTTGAAAGCCTACTCCATGGCAGTGATAGTGACAAAAAAGCAGTACTTTTCCATCACCATTGCAGTGTAGACCTGCAGAACTCTTCCAGGTGGCCAGGGGTCTATGGGGTTCTGCCAGTAGGAGGAGATAGAGTGCTCTGCAGCCTGCTGTGAGCATTTTGCCAAGCACTTTGAAATAAAATCCCGCACACCCATTCCAGCTTGGGCTCTACATTAGTAGCAACAGGATCAGATGGTCCCAGGGTGCTGATTTGTCCAGTTGTGTGGGATACCTTTCAGCTTGTGCAGTCTGAAGATGTGGTCAGGATTCTCGGAGGTTTGAGACATATCACGTTTGTATAACCTTTTGGATGCCGGGGGGAGGGGCTGGCAGACTGGGTCTAGGAGACAGTAAATGCCTCCCTGAGAGAGGGGGTGGTCAGTCCTGCCTTGAAATGGGCACTGGTGTGTCCACTCTTAAAGAAACCTGCTAGAATTCAGGAGAGCTGAATCACTACTGTCCAGTCTCAGATGTTCCATTTTTGAGTGAGATGATTGAACGAATGGTGGCTGGCCAACTTCAGAGATTTCTTAATGGAGTGGATTGTTTAGCTCCATTCCCACATGGTTTCAGGCCTAGTTATGAGACTGAAACTGCCTTGGTCACTCTGATGTATCACATATGCCAGGAGATGGACAGAGGGAGTACAACCCTCTTAATTCTACTGGACCTCTCAGCAGCTTTTAATACTGGATCACCTTTGGGAATGGAACTGGGAGGCACTGTTCTGCAAGGGTTCTGGTCCTACCTTGAGGGTAGGTTTCAGAATGTGGTGCTGGGGAACTGCTGCTCTGCCCCTTGCCCACTGGCCTATGGGGTTCCCCAAAGTTCCATCATCTCCCATGCTTTTCAAGTCACTGGGAGATGTCATCTGGAGGTTTGGGCTGAGCTGCCACCAGTATGCAGATCTTCAGCTACCAGCAGATCCCAGTGCAGCTGTGGGAACCATGAACTGAAAGGAGTTTTGGAATGGGTGTGGGCTAACAAGCAGAAACTTAATCTTAACAAAATGAGGATGCAACTGGTGGGGAGAAGATCTGGCCCAGGAAATGGTTATCTCCTGTTCTGGATGGGATTGCACTCCTCTTTAAGGAACAGGTTGGTACCTTGGGAGTATTTCTGGACTCAGGCCTCCTGTTGGATAAACAGGTGGCAGAGGTGGCCAGGGGTGCCTTTCAGCACATTGGGTTGTTGAGCCAGCTATGGCCCTCCCCGGACAGAAAAGCTCTTGCCACTGCTCTATGGGACACTACTCTTGAAGACTGCCCAGAAGCTATAGTTGGTACAGAATGTTGTGACCAGAGTGTTGACTGGAGTGGGTCATAGGGACCATATCACTCCAGTCTTGTTCCACCTACATTTGCTTCAAGTTTGCTTCTCATCTCAATTCAGGGTGCTGGTATTGACCTTTAAAGTTTTGTACATCCTGTGACCAACATACCTAAAGGACTACCTTCTCCCATATACACCTACCTGTTCACTCCAGTCATCCTTGGATGCTGTGCTTTGGTTGCTCCTGCCATCTGAGGCTAGATGGGTGGTGACCTGAGAAAGTCTTCTCTGTCATGACACCAAAACCTTGAAACTCCCTCCCCAGGGAGATTCATCTGTCTTCCTCTACCAGTATCTTTCACCAGCAGGTGAAGACTTTTTTTGTTTTGTCTGGCATACCCCTAGTAATGGTTGTTGACCCTCCATCTAGTGTTGTTTGTGTTTTTAATTCAATTTTATATTTTAACTGTATTTTAATTTTTTTTATGTTTTTATGTTTGCCACATTGTGAACCCTGATTGAATGGAAGGTAGCACAAAAATACTTAAAAACTTAAAAGTTTATTTAAGTAATTTATCATATTATTTTCATATATAGTCTGCCTTTTTCACTGGGACCCAAGGCAGATTACAAGCATGATTAAAAAAAAACAACTTTCAATCAGTAAGCTGATTAGAAGATATGGTAACATTTGAATCGAACAACAAAGGTTCCTAGTAATACTAAAATGCATTTGGGCTACGATTGTAGCTCAGAGGGTAAACCAGAACACCACATGTAAACATATATGTTTGGGGCACCTTTATTTACTAATTTATTTCATTTATATCTGCCATTCTCCCCAGTGGGGATGGAAAGCAGCTTAATACATTATACTCTTCTGAAGCTGTGGCTAGGCTGAGTGTGAGTGACTGGCCAAAGGTCACACAGCAAGTTTCCATGGCAGAGAGGGGATTTGAATCTAGTCTGGTATTCTAACCACAATACCATACTTTTATGTTACCTGTATCCCTCCCTGTCACACACACAGAGACACACATACATCCAGTCAAGCAAAAAGCAGCTCTAGGAGACCATTTTAAATTGGGAGGGATCCTTTTCCTATGTCACAGCCCCAGAAGAAGAGGAGTTGGTTTTTATACCCCACTTTTCTCTACCCTAAAGAGTCTCAAAGCAGCTTCCCTTCCCAGAACAGGCATCTTGTGAGGTAGGTGGTCTGAGAGAGTTCTGAGAGAAACTGTGACTGGCCCAAGGTCACCCAGCAGGCTTCATATGGAGGAATGGAGAATCGAACCTGGTTCTCCAGACTAGAGTCCGCCACTCTTCACCACTATACCACACTGGCTCTCCCATGTACATCAAACCTCCCAGCTGCTGTTTACTATTGCAAAAAGCCTAGGAAGTCTGTTAATGGATCTCCCAGTGTCTTCTTTAGTTTGGCCCTAAATGATTGCTGGACCTATCTTTATGTTAACTGTTTGTATAATCTAAGTAACTAGTTAGTTCTTCAAAATATTTTCATATTATTCTGCATCCATTCATGAAGATCTACAGTAATATGATGCTGGAATCAAAATGCACATTCCCTTCTGATACAAAGCACATGAGTGGCAATCTTTTCAAAATATGCATGTGTGGTGTAACTCTGATAAAATGTTTGCAAGGATCTTCAGGTATACATATGGCTCCTGAGTATTTTCATGTGTTCGTTAAAAATAATATGAGAAGCAGCTGTTTAGTCCTCTATTCCATTAACCTGATGCCTCCTACACAAGGTGCTTCATCCTATTTTCCTCTCTTTCATCTATTCAGATTTGTGACAAGGTTTATTGAGCTGGATGGCCTGACCTGCTTGTTGAACTTTCTCAAGAGTATGGATTATGAGACCTCAGAGAGCCGCATACACACATCCGTTATAGGGTGCATCAAGGCTCTGATGAACAACTCCCAGGGACGAGCACATGTACTGGCCCATCCAGAAAGCATCAATATAATCTCTCAGAGTTTACGGACTGAGAACATTAAAACCAAGATTGCTGTGCTGGAGATCCTTGGGGCAGTTTGCTTAGTACCAGGTGGTCACAAAAAAGTCCTTCAGGCTATGCTTCACTACCAGGTCTATGCAGCAGAGAGGACAAGATTCCAGGTAAGACCAACATGTTGAGCAAACAGTTCCAGATGTGATATTAGTGTCCTAGCTTATTGTATAAAACAAAACGAGCTACACTGGTTTTTCTAATCAACTCAAATGGTAGATGTCAACGTTGATATTGCTGCATTCATTTCATATCATACCCTATTATCCCATATGTAAAGAATTGCATTGTGTGAGCAAACAGTTCCAGATGTGATATTAGCGTCCTAGCTTATTGTATAAAACAAAACGAACTACACTGTTTTTTCTAATCAACTCAAATAGTAGATGTCAACGTTGATCTTGCTGCATTCATTTCATATCATACCCTATTATCCCATATGTAAAGAATTGCATTGTGGCTGAATGTATGCTGAGTTTCAAAATGTCAGAATATAATTACATGTAATAACTACAGACTTGCTCAGTAGAAATGGTACACTCCTTAGACATCTACTGTGCTGCCTTCTGTTTCTCATTTCTATATCAATGTGCTCCCAAATTACAGTTTTATAAGGCCATTTCATACAGTGCATGGATTCTGCCCCTTATTAAGGGACACACATACACACTAAAGTTTCTGGGGGGTAAGTTAAGGTTCAGTTGTTGTTTTATTTCAGATCGATCCATCTCTGGTAAATTAGGCACAGATGTTTGACATGCCTTTGACAATGACTTATAGCCTTAGAAATGCACAAAAGAGCTGCTCAAGTTACTCAGCTTCTTGGCAGTAAAATTTGTTCACCTGAAGTAAAACTGGAAACAATTATAAATAGGATCAGTGATCAATATATTCTTGGGTTCTACGACTGCTAGATTTCTGTCAGACTGTTTACATGACATGAAATCACATGTGGACTTTGTCAGTTCATGGTTCTGGTAGGACAGCCTTCTGTATCCAAGGGAGCCATACAGGAAGGAGTACAACTTGATTATTGACTTCGCTATTGTTATTTGATGCCACCATAAAGATTTTTTTGAGAGTGCTGTAAAATTTTGCAAATAAGTTCTGTGGAAGAATGGGAAATACAGAAATTAAGTAACAGATTAGCAATTATAAAAGTCTGGGGGGGGGTGCATGCATATAAGGTTTCTGAGTCTCCATTATGGACATATATACTTTGAAAGTTAAGAACAGCTCTTATTATACAGAATATTTTATGATGAGCTTAATGGATATCCTGTAGTGACAATGTAACTATTTGAAGTCCTGATGAGTTGTGAATCAGTATTTTTATTTTGGGGTTATGCAATAATAAAGTTGTTTATGTTGTTGAAGGCTTTCACGGCCGGAGTTCATTAGCTGTTGTAGATTTTCCAGGTTGTATGGCCGTGGTCTTGGCATTGTAGAACCTGATGTTTCGCCAGTAGCTGTGACTGGCATCCTCAGAGGTATAACACAGAAAGATGGAGTACTCTCTGTGTGAAGGTGAGAAGAAAATGGTAGGCAGGTAATTTATATCTACTCAGGAAGGTGGGGTAGGGCTGAGTCATTATCTTGTAGGAGTTCCCCAGGCTGTGAACATGCTAATGGAGGAGCTTTCTTGAGGAGGTTCTTT